AATTCCACCGAGGGCCTCCCTCGCCCAGACGCACTGAGATGTGTGTGCGCCTTACCCATTCACTCCACCAGAATGCAGTTAGGACTCTTGAAGAAACGGTATTTGGGAGCCAGGTTAGTGGATGGTGAGTTACAAGTTGAATGAGCGAGGCTCACCCCCGTTGGTTTCCTAAGGACTCCAAGTGGTCCCAGTGTTTTACTGTCGTGCAACACACAGGGTGTCGCATTGCAAAGTATCTGGAAAGTGGCACCTCTGTATTCAGCTGGCCACACAGCTGTGCGAATGGCAGCAGGGCTGCCCGGATAACTGTCTGCTGGAAACGCCGCCGGGCCCTCATTAGAATATTCCCGTGGAGCAGATCACCGGGGCGATGGAAGTGATAAGGGGCGCTCCTTTGGCTGCAGAGGCCCTGCGGGGTTCCGATTGTTCCGCCCGGCTTGGCACGTTCTGGAGACGGTTGCTGGAATGCGGACGGCACCCGGCGGCGAGCGCCCCGCAGCCCCGACGCCAGCGGTTGCAGAGGAGCCAGCCCTGTGCGCGCTGCGCGCTGGGCGCGGGGTTAGCCGCCGCCCGTGGCTGCCCCGCGGCCGGGAAAGGAGCCGCGGCCCGGCGGCGCGGAGCAGAGGACCGTGCGGCCGGGCGCCCAGCACGGACCAGCACCGCGGGACCCGGAGGGCAGGCCCCCGCGGCGGGAGGTGCCAGGGTGTGAAGATCGGGCTCTGGAACCGCATGAGGGTCCGCACGTGCAGGCAGCCCGGTGGGGACACGCTGCGAGCCAGCGCGCAGACAAAACCACCCAGCCCCCTTGCCTAAGAAAAGACGTGATTCCAGTGGGCTGATAGGCAAACATAGAAGTTTCTGGTGGGGTTGTTTTCTTTTTCTCTTCTTCTCATTGCAGCCCGAGTGGCAACTCTAAGGGAGGGCCTCCTTAGGCTTTTTGTGTGAAAGGTCCCCACAAGAATTCACGAATTTGGTAAATGTTGCTGGTCAGTAACCCCAGAGGCTTTAGATGCCTTATTGGGAAGTTCAGATTCATAATTTAGACAGAAAGGACCCACCTGCAGGCAGGTTGCTACTAGGAGAAGGATAGGATGTAAAATGGGCTCTGGAATTCATTGTGCCCAGGGTTTAGGCCGGCAGGAAATTACAAAGGTTCAGGGACCATCGAGGGGGGGAAAGCCATGACTGCTCTCAGGAAGGGATCTTTACCCCTCCGTTTACCTCTGAGACCCCAGGCCTCAGCACGCACGCAGTACTAGTACAGTTTTCCTTGGTTGCAGGCTTTTTTTTTTTTTTTTTGGTGTTTTTTTAAATACTGGAACTGCTGGGTTTCAACCATTCGCTACAGTTTTCTTTTTTTCTTCTTCATCAGCATAAAATATCAAGGGGCAGGCCAGCCAACCTTGCATGTAAGGTTTCAGTGGTGAAAGGGATGGAAGGAGAACAGTGTGGAGTTGTAAGAAAAGGAACCATGGTTGGGAAAAGGTCTCATTTCATTCACATCTAAAAAACTGTTGCATTTTCCTCAGAGAAAAATCTTTGAAGTGAAAGCAGAACCGAACGAAATGTTTTCCTTGATCATTCTGTTCTAAATAAATTGTGCTTTATTGTTTAGGAAGTTCCAGGTTTTAAAAGTAGTACTTTGGGCTCTTTCCCCAATTATTTATGCTTTAGGATTCCATCCGGAATTTTTACAGGCCCCTTCTACACCTCAGGCTTTTGGGTATCAGCTCAGGACTTAGTTTCTCAACTTGGCTAATAAGTCTATGAAAAGAACCACCACTACAGCTCGAAGCGGATTCTCTCTTCTGCTCACTGAGGCTTGGTGCAGAGTGTTGATGAGGTGTCAGAGTCTAGAATGTTAAAACTTTCTCCTTTGTAACTGACAGGGACAAAGTTGTGATTTTATCAGTAAAATAAACTGATATAATTTATAGGGATATACAGGAAGCAGATGTCTGCCTTGGCAAGTTGCCATTTTTATAGCCCTTGTTTCAAACACAAGCCACACTTTTAAATAATTAGTTACTTACTAATGAGATCCAAAAATAAGTCGTCAAAATAGAAGAAGAAGGTCGACTCTTGAGTGACTAAAGGGCCTTTTTTTTAAAAAAAAAAATCTATTTCAAACGCGGGGTGGAGGGTAGGAATTAGTATTCTCTGGGACCATTAATTAGTGTGATTTTTCAGTCAGTGCCTGGGGCTTTACCTCTTCTCACAGGAGTCCCTCTGTGCAGTGATGAGTATTTGGAGGGTTTATTACTTTGTTAAATTGAAGTCCTTTGCTTGGGGTAAAAACCAACAACTCCCAAAACCAAGTTTGTCAAGGAACTTCAGTGACTTGTCTCCTCACTGCTGTTAATTAGCTCTGTCTACTAAGGAAGAGGCTGATTTCTTACCAGGAATCCCATCTCTTCATGGGTTTTTCTGGTCCAATGGCTTGTTTCTGTTTGCAGTTTGAATTTAGTAAACTCCATTCATATTCAACCAATAAAACTGTGTTTTGAGGGGGGAAATTATAGTAAATGCCTTTTTATCCAAAATGATTGAGAATGGAGTGTTTTGACTAATTAAAGATTCCTGTTAAAATTTTTAGCTTTTATGTAATTGCCAGTTTTCAAAGAAACACTGGAGTAAAGACATATAGTTAAACCAATGGCATGTAAGATTTAAGATATCGGATCAGGACTTAGTCACCATCTGTGTCATGGGGTCCTCACTAGATCCTCTATTTACTACACATTCTTCTGGGTCTGAGGTGCTGGGAAGATAGCCAAGGCTTGTCCTCATGGAGCTTACTGTCTGGAGGTGGGATGGACTTTCAGCAAAAATTCCAGATGAAGAGTTCATTGGGCTAGAGACTCAGGTAGGCTGTTGGAATTCAGTTGGAGTGCAGTTCATTGATAGCTTATGACTGCATAGCTTGCGCAGTCAGCTAAGACTTCATTTGGGACCTATTGTACCGAGTACGTAAGCAGTGAACAAAAGTCTGCAGAGCAGTTGCCTACAAGCTTTAGTGCGCCTGATCATCAGTAGTGCTGGTTAAAATGCAGGTTCCCTGGTGCCACCCTCCCAGATATTAAGGGGTTGGACCTGGCAATCTGAATGCTTCACAAGCATTACAGAGGGCAGATTCAAGTGGCTCTTGTACCACTCTGAGAAACAGAGCTGTGGTTGGGGTTGAACTGTTCTTGTGGAATACTTTAAAGATGATATTTAAATCAGTTTTGGGGGAGTGTTACGAAATTAAGGAATTTGTTAGAGCTTAGAAGGGGCCATCAAACATTTCTCCCTCCAGGGTCTTCATCTGGATTCATGCAAAAGCTTGGGGGGGGGGGGGGGTCCGTGTTCCCTCTGAAATTAAGTGAACACTTGAGTGTTTAAGGATATTCTACGGAGAGGATCCATAACTTCTAACATATTCTTAAAGAGGACTGCACCTCCTCCCCCCAAGGCTAAGTCCCACTGTGTGCTTCTGTCATGTGACAGATGAGAAACCAGGCACCGAACAGCTCTGTTTAGGTAACGAGGCCTTGCCCTGGACTTGTGCAGGGTGGCAGCCCTGTGAAAGGACCTTGTGAGCTCCTTCACACTGGTGTACTTGGTCAGGGCTCTCTGAGGGCTGTTTCTGAATTTGCAGTGGATCTTACAATTGATTTGTAAATTTAACTTTGTGCTTCTTTCTTTTTTTTTTCTTATTTATTCCAGAAAAGCTATTCTTAAATAACTTGTGTGTGTTACAATGAATGACACTGAGTAATCAAGGGAAAGAAATGGAAGTTAGTGGAAAAGCTGGTATGCGGCCTCTGGGTCTTAAAGTTTTCTAGTGACTTGAATTCCAGATTTCTTGTACAATCAAGAATTTGCAGTTTCCTTGCAAATCTGAGTTAAGGATGACTTAAATATATCATCTGCTATTTTAACTCTTTTTATTGGTTAGGCAGTTGCTTATTTTATTTCAGTAATCATTTTGGCGGAACATTTTTGCTAAATGTAGAAAAGAAGCAAATGACTCAACTGAAGAAATGCCCACCATGAGTGTTAGTTACAATCTAGATAGCTGGAAGAAAACATTCTAGAGAGGGTACTTGTCATCTTTTCTTGTATTCTTGTATTTCATGGCTGCAAAAAGAAAAAAAAAAGAACATGACACCAAATTGAGTGAAAGTTGATGAATGATGAGTTAGGGCGATTTATCACATGAATGAAGCCAGTGAAAGGCTGACTAACTGAACTTGCCTTTAGCTGAGTTTTAATATTTCTTAAGTGGTTCCAGTCTTTTCTGTTGGCAGTCTTTTGACTTTCTGTGGGATCGAGAGCGTGTTGTTCTATTACCTATGTTTGTTTAAAAAAATATAACTGAAATGATTTGAAATGGTCTCATGTTTTAAGAAAGCTTAAAGAATTTGGTTTACCTAGCCAATTAGGATCAAGAAGCATATTGCAATTTAGGTATCTCAGTGAGAGGAAGCAAAAATCACTGGCTTCTTGACCTGAATTATCCTCTGATTCAGAACTTTGAGTAGGGCCTGGGTTTGAGAAATTGCACTCTCTTTAAACACATCTAATTAATTAAAAGCCTTCCCCTGCTTGGAAAGTTGTCCTAATGCCCCTTCCTATAAAGTTGGCCACCTGAAGAGACATTTGTAGATGTGGCTTAAAAGAGTAATGTGACCCTTGGGTTTCGCACTATAAACACAGCTGTAAATTGAGATATTTAGATCATTTAATAACAAATGCCCAGTAGGAATTTGGGGAAAGTCCCACATTATGGACATTGCCGTCTGTTCTCCTTTTGCACGTGCAGACACTATGACTGGCTTGTTAATAAAACTTTGATGCATTATTTTTGCAAGAAAACATGTAGGGAAGGCTCATCCATGTTTTGAGCCTGCTAAAGCGGTGGGCACCTCCTCAGGGGACAGGCACAGTGAGTGGGCTTTTGAGGGAGCTGTTTTCCCCCTTTTATTTGAAGTTGATGACGCTGTTGTGTCCTTCAGGTGTTCCTGGTACCAGAGAGCTGAAGTAATGAGAAGGCATCATGGAGGCCCAGTCCCACAGCTCCCTGACCACTGAGAAGAAAAAAGTTGAGAATTCTGTAGTAAAATGCTCTACTCGAACAGATGTCAGCGAGAAAGCGGTGGCCTCCAGCACTACTTCCAATGGTAAGCAGCCTCGGGGATTACCAGCAGCCAACCCTACCGTCATTTTTATGTTCTCTGCATTCCTTGTGAATTGAGTATCTGCACCTGGACCAGTGTTTGTTCTAGAAGGGGCTAAAGAAAGCAGATGGGATTGAAGTGTGTGTGTGTGTGTGTGTGGGGGGGGGTGTGGGGGTGTGGGGGTTTGGGGGGGAGGGAGTACAAGATGGGCAGGCTTTTGTAATCTCTATTTTGGCACCAAAACAACATGTTTTCTTTCCAATTTTCTAATTTGAGATGTATATGTGATGGGTTGTTTATCATAGAAAGTTCCTGTTTGGGCATTTTGGAAATCATCTTGATTGGTCTGGCAGGAGTTCCGAATCCTTTTCATTTCACGTGGAAAAGCCTACACTAGTCAAAAAAAGTTATTAGTTATTACAGAAGACACAAAAGTTGCCTCGTCAAAATTAGCGACGGGATTCCTTTACCCCCAACTCTTAAGTAGTCCGCTTTAAAGGAGTTTAGAAGTTAATGGTTGAGCCTCAAGGTAACATGAATATCTGAGATACAGGTTTTGCTGTTGGCTTATAAAAATTTAATTTACCTAATTTGTGTTCAGAGATAGCATAGAGTTAGTTCACTGTTTCTACATGCTATATTAATATTTTAAGCAAAGTGTTCAGAGGCATTTCAAGTCAAGCGTGGAGCATTGAAAATGAATTCCAGAGCCCCTTCTGGAAATAACGGACTGCACAGGTCAATAGTAACCTTCGCTTTCTTTCCCTGCTTTTCCACCTCGGAGGCCGTTACTACCTTTGCAGTTTGTAGAGTCAATAGCTGCCCTGGCCTCCCCGCGTTGCACGCTGCTCTTCCACATGCCCTGGTTGGCCTGCTCTCCCTTTCCTGGACACTGCGTACCTGGGCACACTGATTTGCATGAGCTAACCTGCTACCTCCCTCTCAGTGGGCATGTTTTATTTATTCCTAGAAAGATTTTACTAGGTTGATTTACAGTATTTTTGACATACATTTGGGGAGTCAGAATCATAGACTCCAAGGGCGGAAATCTAGTAAAAACACCGCACCTTCCTGTCCTGACGGTTGGCACTGCCTGAGCTGACAGACTGAGGTGCTTGCCCCTGGTCTCTGTGCCCATCCTCATCCATGGTGAGTAAGTGCTACTCAGGTGTCCTTCGCAGATGTCCCCAGTGTGCATTGCTGGCTTGACCGGGTGAGGGGAGGGGCTGGCCGGCCAGTGTTAAACCTGCTGGCTAGTGAGTCCTGTTTAGAATTGATCCTTAGGGAGATATATTGATGTCTTCATTAAAATAATGAATTTACTTTACAAACACATGAAAATATATCTGTACTTCTCCCTTTATTTTTGGTGTTTCAAGTCAGAACTGGAGCTTATTTTAATTGAGCCCGGTATTGGCATTATTCTTCCAATGTAGTTATAAAAAAACCACGTGACTTTTTTTTCCCCCCCTAGAATTTTTAAAAGTTAGACAAATTTATTATTTCAGAAGTAGAATCAGTCCATGCAGTGTTGCTTATTTGGTAAATTTAATAGTACTTTTGTAGGAATAAGCACTGTCTGCGTATTCTGCTTTATGGGAAACATGGACTTTTGGTTATCTTTGTAGCTGATGTGAGTGAGTGTGAAAGTGCATTGAGTGTGAATGTGCAGGGGGGGTGTGGATGTGTGTGAGAGAACCGGTGAGAAGGGAGGAGTGTGAGGAGGTAGGGGTTGTGGTATGGGTAGCCCCTACGAACCACTGTCGTTTCTGTGAATTTCAGCAGAGGAACAGCAGTGGTCTGCTCTCCTGAAGGTGCTGCGGCTTCTGCCACTCCCGCACCCACACACATGCTCAGGACGTGTTTGGTGCTCCTGCCGTGGTCTTCAGCCACTCTGACCAGGGGTTGCCATTATGAACCCCTTTAGGGTGACTAGGAACAGAATTAAACCAGCAGTCCTGGGGCAGCCAGGAAGCTACTCAAGAGCATTATCCAAAGAAGGAGCAGTTATGTTTTACAAAGTTAGTCCGAGAGTCTGAATAACCACAGAACTGACTTCTGAATCACATGCCACTGGCTTCCCCGTTGATCAGCCTGTGCCCTTGAAGCACCCATGGCCTTCTAAAGGGGTGCAAAACCTATCCCTGTTGGGGGCAAATGCTCATTAGTCATGTTTGCAGGGCGCCTACATCAATGACAGCTGTCCTAGAAATCCTGGTAATTCTCGCCATTTTCCCAGGGTTCCTGTTTCTTCTAAAGGATTTACTGCTTTTTATATTGGGATGACATAAAGACCCAATCTAAATAAAAGAAAAATAGTTTTGTTCTTAAGCATGAATTGAAACCCTACTGGAAGGTTAAAGGAAAACCAGCACAAAAAATTTAGTGATGGGAAAAGTAAAATAAAGGAATATAAACCTCTTTCTCAGTGATTGTGAAATGCTAGTAATTGTAATGACCTTTAGGTAAGCAATGCTAGTAATTGTAATGACCTTTTAAACAAAGTCCTGTGCAGGTTTCATCTATCTAGTTCAGTCTCTTTACAGCTCAAGCGCCATGGTCATGGGATGGGATGGCCCGGCCTTTTCTTTGTTCTGCAAGCTTCTGTCTAGTTGCACGCTTTCCTCTGCACTCAGAAGTGGTCACACAGCTAGTACCTGGGCTTTGGTCCTGTACCCCATTGGGTTTTAGAGCTCATGGGGGGGCACTTTCAAAGGTTGACACTCCGTGTGTGTGCCGGCTGGTGGCTGCCATTGCCATGGTCATTGGCCCATCCATCTGTTTTGTCTCTGTTGCTTCCCTTTCTTCCTCTTTTTTCCTCCAAACATTTCAGAAGTGCTTGGATTCCTGTAATAAGATTATTCATAAAAAGGAAATTAAAATATTTTGGATCCTATTGTAGTAGGTCGTACTGGTTGCTAGTTTCCGGGAGGTTCTTATGCTTCCTTTACAAAGCTCTGAGATTCAGGAATTTATAAATGAACAATTAAAAATGCACCAGGAACCAAGCGAATGTATTACATGAATTTTCTCTCCTGTCCAAAATTTCATGATTAAAGTAGAGCAAACAAACATATTTGTTATTGGTGCTGCGAGGTTGACTTCATTAACTTCCCAGCCATTATCGTGCTGCAGTTTGTACCTGATTGTGAGCTTTCCAGCCAAACATGCACATTCCAATGCATGTCCTTACAGATCTGTTTTCTTTCTTTTCTCAACTAAGTATCTGCTTTAGAATAACATTCATACAGAGTTTTGTTTAAGCACACACAACGAAAAGGTATGGTTCAAAAACCTCGAACCGCATTTTAAGTAAGCATTTGCCTCTTAACACTGAACTTTAAAATAACACAAATTAAAAACTATGCTCTAAGTCTTCTATGGAAAAAAAAAAAAGAAGACAAATTTGGTTTTTGTATATAAAGCATTTAGTACTCTTTACTCAGAAACCTAAATGTGTGATTCATGTGCCATACTTAGGTTTTAAGCTTCACTGTTATTTATTAAGCATAAATGACAAAAGAGAAGACATTTGATTTTCTGGATATTTGTTCAGTACAATAGTGATTAAGTGATCATTTTTGGAATCGGTGTCTTTTACATATAAAATGTGCACTAAGATATTTAGTGTTATTGTTTACTTAAAAAAATCTGGAAATATCCTAATATATTATAAGTTAAAAGCCCTAATAATCTGTTTCTGGTATTGATTTCTAAGCTATATGTTGTGTTTTATAAGTTAGAAAAGTTTTTTTAATATGGCTCTTTCAATGTTTTAAACATTCTCATTATCTTATAAAATTTTCTTCAATGACTTGTAAATGTCGACTTTTCAGTTTGAAGTGTTTTGTCTCATTTTTGGCGTATGGATATATGTTGAAGGAGCAAGCTGGTATTTTTTATTTAAAATTGTGCTTAATCAGTAGCATTCAGAATGTCAACAAAACAGCTATAATTTTTTTTTAAACTACAGAGTGGTATTCAGTTAACAGAACAACAGTTATTTCGTATAAGTGCATCAGAGACAATTGAAGATGAAAAAACTACCATCCCCATATATAACTAATTTTTTTCCGGGCACCAGTACAGAACCTGGTTTAAATTTCTATGCCAATTTACAACCCCCATACTGTACCAGGCAAGGTTAGTGGCTATTGAAAATACCACCGGGACAGAGCTATCTAAAGGCACATTTGGTAGTGTGCTAACTGTACAAGAAAAGATACTGTACAGTTTGAAAACAAATCTCACACAGCCTTACATGTCAGTTTTTTTCTTTAAAAGGAGTGAATGAGTACAGGGCGGTTAAATGCTTTATAGACAAGAAAAATAACTGCACCAGACTCAACTTAGTCATGGTCATCATCTTCTTCATCTTCATCTTCCTCCTCCTCCTCGTCCTTCTTTTTCTTGCTTTTTTCAGCCTTGATGACTCCTTTTTTTTTTGCTGCATCAGGCTCTCTTTTAACTCAGTGTGCAGCAGGCTCCTTTCCGTATTTATTTCTCCTTCAGCTTAGCCGCCGTCTTTCCACTGGCTGCTTGTTACCTGGGGCAGTGGGATCCCACATCTGTCCCAGCTTCCTTGCGGCATCACCAGTGGACAGGCTGCGATGCTCTCCTTTGATTTTTGGGGGATGCTCGGAACAAAACGAGAAAAAGGCCGGAGGAGGCCCCTGGATGACATTGGGATCCATGAACTTCTTTTTTGTTTCCCCTTTAGGGAATATACGTTTCCATTTCTTTCCTAACAGGCCGTGTGCTCCTTTGCTGTGTTGTCTTCACGTTTTCCTCTGTCTCTGAGCACTTCCTAGAAAACTCTCAGAAGTTGCCTGAAGCATCTGGGGGCTGCTGCTTGTGCTCCTTCCGGCGACTTTGCACACAGAAAGCGTATGATGACGTTTTGCCTCCTGGCTTGTTAGGGCCTCCTTTGCCCAAGTTTAGTTACTTTTTCTCAGCGAGCACAGAGCTGACCAGGGCCCGGCTCGCACTTGCCTGGGCGCTGT